AGAGACGAAGGAAGGGAGAAAGAAGAAATGAAAAAAAAGAGAAAGGAGAGAAGGAGATGTAAAGATTTGAATTATATATGTAAAGATTTATCTACCAAATTAAATTCTCAGTCTAAACATACCTGCAGCTTCTCCCACACTTTTTTCTTTGGATTTAACACATCATCAGCAACTCCATCTTCGTATCCTTCGATAACAATTTTATCACCCACAATGCTGTTTATCGGAGGTCTTAAAGGTTCTACTTGCCTCGTTGGTTCTTCACTGTACAGAATTATATCATTATTGTACACTGAATTTTATTTATAATTCATATCGATTATATAAATATTTATTTTTATTTACTTATATTTTATTCGCGGTTTTTTAGCAAATTAAATAATATTAAAAAACGTTCACATGCATGGATTTTTCTTATTGAAGATACTTCATATTTAAATATAATATACAATTAAAAGTGGTACTCATGTAATCGAATACTTACACTGAAGCACATAGAACCATTCCATGCGATAAAATTCCCCTGAGATTTGCTGGTTTCAGATTAGCGAGGACTACTACCATTCTATTTTCCATCTCATTCAGAGGTACGAAATTAACTAAGCCACTAACTATGGTACGTGGACCATTTGATTCACCTAAATCTATTTTCTCGACATATAGCGAATCTGCATCGGGATGTCTCTTTACTTCGACTATTTTACCCACTCGGATATCCAACCTCGCAGGAGTAATTTCTATCTCCACAATTTCTAAAGGATATTAAGAATTACGATTATTATATGAAATCATTTTTGTATATTTAAATGGTAACAAATAGTAAAATAGTTTTTAATTTATTATATATGCTTAACAAACTAAATTACTTTGTTTCTGTACAGGATAAGCTTTGTTTGCAAGCGATTTCAACTTTGTGTTTGCTTCAAATTCCTTTCTTATTGGATCAAGAAGTCTATTGATATACACCTCTATGGCATTTTTTAAATCACCAGGATGTATCTCTTGCTTTGCAAAAGCAACTTCCAAATCCTCGTATTTGGAATAGGATACATCGCCACCTAAAATTATAAAGAATGATGAAATTAATTAAATTATGTTTTACTTCCTTCAAATTTGCTTATGTACAGAATAAATCACATACCGAATTCTGCAGTTCTTTGTACATTGAAAACTTCGTTATCTCTGAATAATGGAAATATAACATGTTTTGAGAACGACAAAATTCCGTTATCTATAATATTCCCGGGTTCACAGAATGCTTTCTTCAGCTTCTTCTTCACTGTTGCAGGATTGTCTAATAAATCAATCTTAGAATCATCCTCGGATGAAGACATCTTAGCACCTGCTAAGCCGGGAACTGGATAAAAAACAAACAAATAATAATGTTCTAATTAAGTTCAATAGCATGCAAAAGATTTGGTTTATTTTTCTGTTCAATACTAACTCATTGGATTCATCAGATGAATACGTTTTTCATAACCCAACATTGGTAGATATTTCTCTGAGAAAGTAAAAATTTTTCTTTGATCAACGCCACCAAATTGTGCATCAATTTTCAAATGATGCTCATCGAGTGCTTGCAGACCTGGATAAAGAAGGCCTGATAGTAATGGATTACAAACTTGTTTGACAACTTCTGCACCTGCTTTTTTTGCATCATGTTCTGTTACCAACGAACTTAGACGATATACATCTAATGTATATTCCCTTGAAAAGAAAATTCCTATTTTAAAACAATTGTAATAGTATGTTGATAAATGCAAGATATAGGCTAAAGAGGACAAATATGCAAGATGCAATATAAAATTTCAATTTAACGTTTACTTGGATAATTGGTAATCTGTGCCTTTGACAAATTTTAGTTTATCCAATGGTACATCAATTGACTTCAACATTGCTTTGATCACAGCTTCATAATATTGTGTACGAAGTTCGAGAAGTTCCCAGGGTGCTTTCATGTTGTCTAAGTATGCATGAAGGTCTGCAAAGAGAATTGTCACTTCAGTTTCAGCCCGTAAAAAATCAGCTATCTTGGACATAGGGACGAAATAGCCAATGTGAGGCCTTCCAGTTGTAGCTGTGCCCCAATATAGCTTCAGATCACGTGTCTTCAGGATACTCTTGAGTTTTTCATCTCCTAACCATTCTGCCAGATTTCTGGTAATAAGTTTGTATTTGTCAGTCCATGTCAAAGCCATTGTCAGTATTCTTATATGCGTTTTTACCTGAACAAACCATTATAATTTTTATAAATTATTTTAATTTTTATAATAATTCAAAGAATCTTATACAATTAAATGCATCTTATATTTAAAAAAGCATTTAAAAAAATAATTTTTTTAATAAAATGTAAATGTAATTTAAACTTTCTGGATGTTTAAAAAGAAAAGTAGAATACAATATTAAATACATTCCATTTGTTTGCAATGCTAATTGTCTTTGTTTAACATTTAGTAAAGAATACAGAAAAAAAATTAATGTTCTAGGTGTATTTATTACTTTTTTATAAAAAGTATAATATATAATGATAAAAGTATAATATATAATTTATATAAAGTATATAAATATAAATATCTTTTATAAAAACTATTTTTATATAAAAAAATTATAATTTACGAAATATTTTATATATTATATATTTTTTATATTTTTATATTTTGTAAATTATCAGCACTAGTAAAATTAATGTTAAAACCAGAATAAAATATAAAATGTCTTGTGCAGAATAACTAAAAAAATATCACATTACATAAAAAAAAAAACAATAATTGTACTTAAATGATAAAAACTTTTTACTTATAAATAACTTTTTTTCATAAATTAATTTTATTATTGTTTCTTTCCAAACTTTACAGTTTTATAGAAATATTTTTGCTTGCTAGGATCAGTCAATTATATATCTTGAAACAAGATGAAAATTACAAAGTAAGGAGAAAATTTACTAACTTTCAATGAAATTAGATAAACTTTCTCGTTTTTGTAATTTTATTTTGTTTCAAAATATACAATTGATTCCCAGATTTTGAAATATTCAGCTAGATTAAAATAGGATAATCATACAGCATTTATATCTTCTATATCAATATATTTTCCTTTGAATTAATTTAAAAATGATGGGATGAATAAAACATATATTTCAAAACATTTCCATACTAAATTTTGTTAGTTATACCACAGAACATAAATTTTACATTTTTGATATCTCGATAGAGTCAAGAACTGTTCACTATTAAAGCTAATGTCTAACAATTTATCATGTTATATTGAATTCTATGAATTTTCACAGTCTATTAGTGATACAAGTATTGTTTTGTTCTTATTATTCATTGGATGCTAAAAAAGATAGAATGACGTTTGCGTTGACTTGTCATTAAATGGAAAGTCACATACCATATGTGAAAATCAAATCATTTTACTTAATTTTTATACAATTATTTCAAGGTTTTTAAGAAAGAACAGTATATTAAAAACATTTACAGTATACAATAATTTATAAATTAATATTTTTGTTTTAACAAAAAACTAAATAACTTATATATAAAAATTTTATAATAAATTGTCACATGAAATAACCTAAAATATCACGTGCAATGCTTGTTTTTATGATATTCTTCACTAATATTTAAACATAGTACAAAATGTTAACGCGCACGCGTAACAAATAAATTCAAGAACACATTTCTATAAATTATATTACATTTAAAATTATTTTATATTTTTCGTATTTTATATTTTTCGTACCAATGGAGTAAGGCTATTTCTCTATGAGTGCGTTCCGTTGCACGCATGAATCATGTGGCATGATGCGCATGGAGAAATGCATAAGGTCGTTCCGTTTCACTCCATGCGCAGTTCATGCACGCAGGGATTGCCTCAGATAGGGTGAGGTCCAATCGAACACATTGATCGATTAAATAAAAAATTTTTGATAGGTGGCTCAGAAAATTCCATCGGCTGATGTGAGTGGTGTGTCCGATTGAAAATGTGCGCATCTGGGACGCTCCCTCGAGATAATGCAATCTATGGTGTAAGGAGACAAGATGTGCTCGTCAGATAGATTCCAATTTGGAAATCGTTCTGCGCAGATATGGCGTTGGAACAAAGTCGCCTTTCATATTGGAAAATAATAGTAAAATAAACAAATTTGTGACTACGTGACATGTGATTTGATAATAGAGAATTTAATAATTATTAATAATAAAAATCACAATAGTTCTCAATTAAATAAATTCATTAATTATTGTCCTTTCCTTATTTATACTACATTTTGAATATCGCGAGAAAAACGTTAATTGGTTGATATGTATTAATATGGCCGGCTACTTGTTCCACTATTTTCATTAGTCCATCCTCATTTTCATGCGCAAGAATACACTTTATTTCTTTAGTCCCGATCTACAATAGGTGATTTAAGCCTCAAGTTATAAGAAATTGACAAATCATAGTCGATTATTCTTCTATTCTTTCACTATGATTCGTCCATTTCTTATGGCTTAAATCACTTATTGTAGACCGGGACTTACACCATGTCGCAAGCATTATGTTTCAGTTAAATTTCTATCACATGTCATATTCAATCATCGGCACATCGCCGAACTGTGATTCCTTTACGCAAATGCTTTCATTGATCTGTCCCTTTATTACTCACATTTATAACACTAAATACCTTATATATTGTCCTAATTTATTGTTTTTTAAATTAACAAAAATAGATGTCTTAGAATGATATAATTTATTAACATTGATTAGTTTGCAAGTACATCTAATAATGAAGTTAGATCATCTAAGATATAACCAGACATATATATAACTCTGAGTATCGACAAAATTTAGTTTACTTAAAAAGGTTATAAGAAATATATTTAAAAATATTGTTATAATTATGATTATAAACTTGATTTACATTTATTTTAAG